TCTATGTGATTTTAATTCCTGTAAGTCTGAATTTAAATAATCATGTTATCTGATGGCATCCACATTGGGCGCTCTAGCTCACAAATATGTCCGCTGCATCACCTGATCTCTATCCCTTCTCAAGCCTTTTCCTGTACCAAGTCCTCTTGATCTCTCTGATTCACTCCTTTAAGTTTGGCAAATTCATTTTGTTCCCCACTGCCTCAGGGAAACTTTACACACATTATGACATCTGATGGGAGACTTATTTCCATTCCTTTTCTCCTAGTTAACACCAATCAACCTTCAGATTATCCAAGAATAAAAATAATATCCTTAGGGAATAAAGAAACGCTCTTCATTGTCCTTGTCATAGTTTCAGACTTATGTATGCGGTTTTTTGATAAACTAGACTACAAGATAAGGGTATGAACCGCCCTTGCCTCGAATTACTCTAGTGCTTGGCATATAATAAGCATTCCATAAATATCAATTACATGAAGGAGTGACTAATTATTCTGTAGCCCAATAGCTTCAATTTGACTTGAATTGTTCTGGCAATATATTTGGCAAATCTTTCTAAGCATACAAAGCAGCAACTAAAGGAAATTTACCAAATTGCCAAACTTTTCTCAGACCAACAAGGGAATGGACCTTGAGAGTTTCTTTGGTATTTACAGATTTGGGAATCATCCAGTAACATCTAAGCTATGAGCTCAAACAAACAGGGATTGTTAGTATCCAATTTGCCTGAAACAGCCTAAACTCCATTCAGGCTGACAAGTTAGTGAAGAAAACTTTCATAACCTTCACCAACAACCTGAGCTGCACAAATCCCTCTGCTCTTGATATCTTAATTTAATCCCTTTTGAAGTCATTTGTTCCTGTAACTGGCATTTTAATCTCCTTGTGTGCTTCCGGTTGTTCCCATTTCACACTTGTTATCAGTATACTCTGCTGCAGCTTAATGCCTTCAAAGAGCCAAGCATAGTTTTACTGTAACTCAGATTTTTAAGCTCCTTTTCAAGGATCTTCAACTTTTAATCTTTTTCTTCATCCTAATTCCACTAATACGTCTTGCATTTTTGAGGGGACAGGTTTACAGGGCAGTCTGTGCATTCATCCAGCTTGCCCCCTACCTTGAAGACAAAGAAATTGTCTCTCGAAATTCTCTAAAGGGCATGTAATGCGAACTAGTATACTCTACATCTAAATGACTGGCTGTACAAAATCATTCAGTAATCTATTCATTATAATTCCAAAAAGAACTAGAGACTTTCCAATAAACTTTACATCAAATCTCTGTAGTTAAATGACATATATGTGAAGGTGTGCTAAGAACATTTACGTTTGGCCCCTTTCACTATAACAAAGGCTGAAAATGCATCATGGAATGGGGCCAAAAATTTGTATTTCAACAAGTACTTTTAATACTTACACTTATGCCACTATCTAACATTAGGAATCCTACCACATCAATTATAATAAGAAAATAACATCCATCGTTCACTAATATTAAATGGACTAATATAGTTCAAGCTCCTAGTTATAGTACATTTGCAAACTTAAGTATTTTCCCTCCCTATTCCCTCTTTCAATCCTTTTATTTTCAGAGCCTTTCATCCAAGAATTTTATGTTATCGGCTCAGGCCTGTCACCCTCAGCTGAAAGCAATGATGACATAGTCCTTCAATATCTTCATTCTATTATCTAGCATTATTTTTTTCCACTAAGACCAAGTTTTCATTGTGGTTGGACCTCAGACAACAGCAAGTCTATGAGATGACAATGTAGTCTTCAGTGTCTTTCTGCCAGGTTACTAACTATCCTACATTATTTTGCTTGTTATCCCAATTTCTTTTTGCCATTGGAGCACCATCACCTACCTAGGTTCTACCTAGCCAGAACCATGGCTAGCTCTATTCCTTTGTTCTTGGGAGGTAGATCCAATGGTCTCCATTCCTAAACACTGGCCTTATTTCGAAAGGATGTGTGGCTTGGAAACTCATTCCTGCCCTTCATTGAATCTAAACTCTTGAATGTCATTTTCACTTTTTTCATCATATTATGTCTTTGTAGATAACAACACCAGTTGAAGCACACCTAAATTTGCCATTGTGTGCTCTATAGTCTAGCTGCCATTGCAAAGGCCAACCATCATAGCTGGTTAATTAATCTGCTCTTTTGACCTTACCTTTTTCTCCCCAGTTGCAAACGCTCATGCCTCTGATGTCAGTGTCTGTCTATCCAGCCTAACAGAGGTTCCTTGTTAAAATGAAATCCTTTATGCAACTAAGAAATTAAGAGAAATGGGTTCTCATATAACAAACCTAAGCAAAAATGTGTTTTCCAGTAAAATATAATCATTGGCTATTATATAGATGAAATGATAATAGATATAGAACAAAAATGATCTAGCAATAATTGATATCTCATTTTTAAAGCTAAGGAAAAGAACCTAACTTGTTGGTAAATCTTACCAAAAAAATCATAAAAGGTGGGGTACCTGGATGGCTTAGTCAGTTGAGTGATCGTCTTCAGCTCAGGTCATGATCTCACAGTCTGTGAGTTTGAGCCCCACGTCGGGCTCTGTACTGACAGCTCAGAGTCTGAAGCCTGCTTCAAATTCTGAGTCTTCCTCTCTCTCTCCCTCTCCCCATTCATGCTCTATCTCTCTCTCTCAAAAATGAATAAATGTTAAAAAAAAAAAAAGAAAGAAACAATAAACAAAGCACACAAACAACTAAAAGTGCATAGTTCTACTTTCCCCTGACACCCACTACCAACTCCCAGCACATGAATTCTCTAAGGTCATTGGTAAAATTTCTATTTTCTGAGTTAATGTAATGATATTTGAACAACCACTGACCTGGAAGATCTGGAGAACACAGCCTCCTAAGTCTAATAGCTTTTCCAGGTAAAATGCCTGTCTTCTGTAGTGGTAGCACAGCACACGCTCAATACCAGGCATCTATCAGCTTGGCTTCCTCCAAAATGCTTGAGGGGCTAAGGGAATAGCTCAAAATATGAGATAGAAGCTCCAAGCCAGGTGCGTGTTCACTTGACTTCTGCTCTGCTCTACTTTTAAATTCTTTAACCTTAAAGCAAAACATTGTAAAATCTGTTCTATTTTCCTCCTGTGGTCAAATTGGTTAACTTTCAAACTATTACTTCCATGAAAACAAAGAATTTTACTCCCTTTCAAGACTTCAAGAATGTCCAAAGATGCTTGACTTAAAACCTATGGAAGTTTTATAGATCAATTTTCAGTCAACTGAGAACCAAAAGGATAAATGTTTATTATTGTCTGTCTCTAGTTGGGTTGACCATTTCTAATTAGAATCTCAAAAGAAGCATAATATACAAATGTATAGGTCAAATTTCATTACAACTATCATAATAATAAGCATCTCAAAGATAAACATACTATCCAATTCAGACAAATGTTTAAACAACCATCTTAGAAGCAATGACATCTAAAAATTTATAGGAAAAGAGATTTTACTCACTCATTGAAGTTTAATATCTAAAGGTATTGAGAAAAAAGCTTTTTGGCATAAGATCTATTCTGCCTATTCTAATAAATAAATAAGTTAATGTTAGTCTTATTATTGAAATATCTGTTAAATATCCTGTTTCTTCCCATAAAATGGATTTCACCTTTGGATAAGAAACTGATTAAGAAAGGCAAATAGTTTCAAGAAAATAAAAAACTAGGAATAAAAATGTTTACTATGTTTAATCCAATTGATTTTCTCTCTATATATATGTATGTTTCCCTCAAGTTCAGATTACAGAGAATTATTATTAATCTTTTTCTCGTTATATATTTCATGTCAAACAATTTCATAAGATATTATGAATTCTTTAAAACCCTGGTTTTAATGAATGACTTATAATTATCTGAAATGGTGGTAGTACCATATGCACACCTCACTATTATATATTTCAGTTATTTCTTATTTACCCTTTACTATAAAAAAGATGTTATGAAAATACTGTATATACATTTCTTCTAACTTACGAGTATTTTCTTTAGATAAATTTCTACAAGTGAAATTAATGATGCAAATAATATAAAAAATGTTATGATTTTTAATACATAATGAAAAGATGTTCTTTAAGAAAGTTTGTACCAATTCATACTCTACCATGACTGTATGGGAATGTGTGGTTCAACAAACTATCTTCAGCCTTGAGTATTATTTTTAAAATAAAATCTTGCCCTGCTTGACATATTGAAAAGAGATACTTGCTTATAATTCTTCTTATTAATAAGATATGATAAATTCTATACATATAGTGTTTACAAAGAGTTTGCTTACATCATCATATTTTAGTCTAGCCTGTATTTTATAAGAAATATTTTCCTAAAACACCATGTTTCTCTTAATTTTAGCTATTTCATTTTTATTTTGGTAAGGTACTTTTAGGTAGCCTTATTTGAAAACTTTTGAGTTTCTTCCACTGCTTTTACTTCTTTTATGGTTTCATACTGATAATTTTTAGTTTGTAGTTTGTAACCCATAACTTAACTTTGTTTAAATTGATGTCCAAATTGATGTATTTTCCTAAATTCATAATATTAAATACAATTTCCCTGATAAAGGATTCCTTTTCTATTCATTCTGTGGTCTGCTTAAGGTCTACATTCTGCTCTTATACTCAGTTTTTTGCATCTTATACCAATACCAGATTGGCATAAAATTTTGAGTTTTAGAATGTATTTTTTTTTTAAATGCTTTATTTATTTCTAGGAGAGAGAGAGAGACAGCATGAGCAGGGGAGGGTCAGAGAGAGGGAGTCACAGACTGAAACAGGCTCCAGGCTCTGAGCTGGCAGTCAGCACAGAGCCCGACGCGGGGCTCGAACCCACGAACCGTGAGATCATGACCTAAGCGAAAGTCAGACGCTTAACCAACTAAGCCACCCAGGCGCCCCTAGAATGTATTTTAATATGAACTAAAATAGGTGAAAAACAAAGGAAATAATGATAGAAATACTTTATCTCAGATGCTTACCAGCCAAGGTGTTCTTGCTTATGTTTCATGTTTGTCTGGGTTGGCTGCAGCTCCTCTGGGTTTTCACTCTGGAACATTGCAGATTCATGGGCTGAAGGAAAAGATACATCGCTGGCTATTAGAATATCCTGTGTACCCATACTTCATTGGCCATATCCGGTCATAATGCAAGGCCTGAATTCAAAAGGTTGGAATCCTCTACTCTTCCCACAGGAAAGGCACAATGAAACACAAGATACAAGTTTACACTAAATCAACTTTAAATAAATTAATCAAGTCCAAGAAAGATCCCATTTCACTTTTGACTGAAATTATCCAAAATCCATAAATTAATTTAAAAGGAACTGGCATTTTTACAATACCCAGTTTTCTTATTCAGATACACATTTCTCTTCATGTATTCAAATTTCATCCTTATAACTGTCAGCTAAGTTTGTAAATTTTTAATACTTCTAAGGAAATTATTCATTTTATAATAGATAGGTTTTGGATATTTCAATGCAACAAAGAATTGAAAGAATTTTCCCATTATAATTTCAACTGCTTAATAATAGTATATGGAAAAAGTCATTTAAAAATACTGATATTGTATCTGCTATTTGGTTAGATGTTCTTTTTAATTCAGAATTATAAGTGATTCCTTCAGGCTGTGCTGATCAATACAGTAGTCACTTGCCACATTTGGTTATTTAAATATAAATTAATTAGTATTAAATTAAATTAAATTAATATTCAGTTCCTTGGTCATATTTACCACATTTCAAATTCTTAATAAGAATATGTAGCTGATAGCTACTGCTTTGGACAGGAGCTTTCTGGATCTTTCCTTCATTGTAGAAAGTTCTATTAGTACTGCTGTAGGGCTTCTAATTGTATAGCCCTATTATCTGTCTATATTGTTAATTTTTTTCCTTTTAATAGTCATGATTTTTCTCATTTCTCTTTGTGTCCTATTATGCTGACAACTTAAAGCAAAATGTGAATTACTGGCGGTGATGGTTTTGCATAACATTTACTACTCTTCTGCTTTTGTTAGTTGAAATCATCACCCTGGAGTGCATGAATGGCTGTGTGGCCCTCACAGTCTGTCGAAATTGTAACTACTACTATTCATTTCATTATTACAAGTTGTATGGAAAGATGAATAATGAAAAAGAAAGGAAGCACCCATGAAAACAGTATTTTGGCTGTCTTCAATATTAGCACCAAAATAATAGAAGAAACATTGTCCAGTTTTTTGATAGGTAGACAGTGAGTCTCCGACATAATAAGAAGTTGAAAAGAGATGAAACATCCTACTTGCTGCTCTCAATCAATGCATGTAGCAAAGCATTTCCTGAACATAGATTGAAATTCTTAATGAAACTCCATCGATTATATCATCAGTGGATTAGCCTCTTCTAATTCCACCATCCTATATTATAGTATTATATTTCCATAATTTTTAGGTGTCCTGCTTTTTCCCTTTCTTTTTTTGTGTGTTCACAGATCATTTTTTAGTTGAAGATAATGATAAGCTTCCTCAGAGTTCACTAGACAAACACCATATTGAACCGGAAGCTCATGTTGACTTAATATTACATACTCCGACTTTTCATTTACTCAGTTTTTGTGGATAAATGGACTTTACTCACCATTTTTGTAGATAAATAGATGTATAAACTTACAAATATGTTATTGACAATAAACTTAAGAGCTAATGAGTGCCATTTACTTAACCTTGTTTTGTGTGCAGGGCTCTTTAGTAAGCTTTTAAATCAAACTTCTGACGGTTTAAACACCACAATGATATTAAACATCACCTCATTTTAAATTGAGGAAGTTAAGGATCAGACAGATTTAGCAATTTTCCCAAGGTCACAGCTCTAGTATCTGAAGAAGCAGGAATTTGAAACTTAATCTATTTAACTCCAATGAGATAATTTTTATTGATAAAAACTACGTGTATGTGTGTGTGTGTGTGTGTGTGTGTGTGTGTGTAAGCTTTTAAGAGAGAATTGACAAATAACATTGTGTAGTGTAATTTAATTAGGATATATTTAAAGAAAATATTCTTGATTCTTTCTAAGGAATAACAATAGAAAGATTTTCAGAAATAAAACAAAAATAGTCTTTGGTTCCCTTGTGAAATACAGGCGTATTGAAAATCTGAGATTAAATTTTCCTGTATTAAACATTTTTTTAATATGGCTTGTGATTTTGTCACTATCTTGGGAATATAAAGGGAGGAGAATATTTGAAATAAAAGGAAATATATATACATAAACCACTTTTTATTCTCTGAATTTTATACTTACTGACTTTGTAATTGGGCAACTGTGATAATCAAAACTTCTAGCTCCAATAAAACTTTCCAGAAACAAATGTATTTGTGACACATATTGATCATGTATCTCATTATATTGCCTTATTTAAAGTGAATATTTTGTCCCCCAATGTTTATATTTACATTCTTGACTTCCATAAATATCAACAGCCACAAACAACAATTGAGTAAATGTCCTAAAGGACAGTCACGTAAATTTACACTAAAATCTCATTTTGCTAATAAAAAATGCTTTTTTCTTAAATAAATTCACATGCACAAAAAATCCTTATGTTACCTTCATAATAAAACATATTAAAACTCATTTATAAAATCTTCATACAGAAATTTCTCATAGAAAATATGAAGGAAAGTATTTTGATCAATACTGCCAAAGGAAAATTTTGCATTTAGTCATTCAACTAGAATATGAGTATGTATATTTCATCTTGAATGTTTCTATTTCTCTAATTTTAAATGTATATGAAAATGTTTTCAATTGCATACAATTAATGATTGATATTAGACACTGAATTTAGGGAAACTCAACTTAATCATAAAAATTACTAGTAGACATATAAGGAAATTTCTCTTTTTCTTTCTCTCTTTTTGGAAAAATATATGAGAAATAGAGAGTAAACCAAAGGGTCTGAGGAGAGAAATGGATGATTTAGGGAAAAGAGACTGCAAGCTTCATAAAAGCAGGGGTCATATCTGCCTTTTATATGACATCATCCTTATAATCCTGCCCTCAATTAATATCCATTCAATGAGAGAATAGCCAAATGAATGAATGACAAGTGGCATAGGCTTACCTGTACACAGTTTAAATTAATAAAAAATTAAATCTTATATTTTCAAAACAATTTTTTGTTTACTTTTATTTATTTTTGTCAAACATTATCATTCCACCCCTATTTCTCAGTCTCAAATATGATTCTCTGCTTCATACCTCTCTCCTACCTCTCACAATTATTTCTGATCTTATGTCACTGCCTACCAAGGTGTGTTTTCTCTAGGATGTTTTGAGGTTACCTCTATACTGTAGAGTAAATTGCAAAGGATGCCTATTCTCAGCACTCAGATAACTGAGTCAGATAACTCAGATAACCTACACATATCACACACTCAAACTCTCTCATGCACACTTAGTCATAATTTAATCTCCATGTAACTAATAACATATTAATGGTAAGCATTTATTGTTTATTAAGTATTGCTTGGCAAATATATTTTTATGTACTTGTATACTTGTAAGATAGTAAAGTATGTATATTAAGTATACATGTATTTATAATAAGCATTTGTGCTTATTACATTCATGTTGCATATAAAAATGATTATGATTTCACAACCTTACGGGCACTCTTTATAGTCTTTCTGTCAACACAACTAAGGCGCAGAGCCGCTGAGTAATTACCTTCAATTACAAGCTGGTGGGTGACTGAGCCATGCTTCACAGGCATTCAGGAATGCTTTTAATTCTGATCTTATACTGTATGTTGCCGGGGTGGAAAATTTCTGCACCACATGTGGAGCCTGTCTTTTTGAGAGGCAAATATTTTTACAGAAGTATTGTTCTTTTCTGTCTCAGATAACAATCTTTATGTCAATTAAAAAGTTGCCTGGGTGGCTCAGTCGGTTAAGCCACTGGCTCTTGATTTCAGCTCAGGTCATGATCTCATAATTCATGAAATCGAGCCCTGTGTCGGACTCTGTGCTGACAGGGCAAAGCCTGCTTGAGATTGTCTCTCTCTCCCTCTTTCTTCGTCTCTCTCTCTCTCCCTCTTTCTTCATCTCTCTCTCTCTCTGCCCCTCCTCTGTGAACACGGGTGCTCTCTCTCTCTCTCTCTCTCTCAATAAATTAAACTTATTTTTAAACTTAAAAGCAATTGTTGAATGAATGAGCAAATAAATAAATATTAAACTTACCTCTGAATGAGATGTTAACTTGGGATGTGGATTGTGTTTATTTATGAAATGTACTTGCCTTGGGAATAGGAAAAGAAGTAAGGTGAAAGAAATAAACTAAAGCTAGGAACTACTGAGTCATTCTCTACTTCTTGAAACATCACCCTAGGATGGGTATTATTATTTCTCTATCTATAAAATATATAGATGTGAGAAACTAGGGCTCAGAGAATTTAAGAAATTTACCAAATAATGTATCTAGAATCAGCAAGGACAGTATTCAGAAGCAAGTACGCCTGGCTCGAAAGCCCATGTTCTTAAACTAATTTGCCATGTCAATGCCACCCGAGTATCTGGCATCTCTTGAAGTTTCAACTCTATACATAAATAATTAAGAGAACTTTCTCTGAGTTATAGTTTTCTACTCATGGATTCCACAACTCTGAACAGTCATTTCAAAACTCTGTGGTGATGTATTTACTGAGAAAAGTAAGGAGTTTAAGGTAATAATAATCTAAAATGCATGCTTTACCTAATGGACGACTACTCCAAAATTTACCAGTTCATGTTTGAAATTACAATTTTTTCTGGCAACATTATCTTTGGTTTAGAAATGTGTATATGTTTAAACATATGAACACAAGCTATTGTTCTTACTGCAAATTCTACAAAATAGATCAACAAACTAAAAATGATGCCAGTTCGTAAAGTTATCAGCTATCGCAGTTCACCTGGGTAAGCAATCCAACATGCACAGTGGCATGAGTTTAATGACACAACCTTGAAAGAAAACTGTCCTAGCTGAATGATCTCTTTATAACAATAGTTTTCCTGATTCAGAAGTTACTTTATAAGTTTTAAAATGATTTCATATCTTCTGTTTGTTAAGATCTAATCTCTCAATGACAATGGCTAAGAATTGATGAATGGTCCAGTAGAGAATTACATGCTATTTAGCTTTTCTGGAGAGATATGACATTTTAGGTTTACGATGATTCATCACATGATTGATATGTCAAGTTTTCCTTTGGGATGTTAGTTATTGCAAGAAGTGTAATGGACATATCACTGGTGCATCTGGAGCTGGGACAGAGTCTGCTTGTCATTTTGGGTGGCTGAGCTAAAGCATTGACCATTTATTGGACAAAATCTACTGAATTTTGAGCAAATGGCTGTTTTCAAACATCTTGATATATTCTGTATGTCCAGTCAGTGTTCCCCTGGCTGGCATAGAGAGCCTTCCCACTCTGATAATTAGTTAACCCATTAAGGGAGTCTTATTGATCAACAATCTTTTATGTGTTGCCGAAACTTGTGCATAACCACAAGTCAATATTTGTGAGGGTTAATTCCCTATATTTAGGATTCAAACTTTACACAGGACACTGTTCCTTTTGTGTGCTGCCTTTTTAGCTTTTTAAGAGAGGTTAATAAAAAGAGAAGAAATCTGCACACTTTAGGGCTTACCCATCGATTTAGTGAAGTTGCACCCACACTAAAGACCTCTGACACTAAAATCAATGTAGCAAGTGATGATCACTTATAAGAGGGAAGATTAGGCTCAGAATCCATTATTATTAGGGGGTCACCGTAGCCAGCTATAGGAAATCAAGCTAAGCAACTATACGATGGTGAGAAATGAGCATAGACTAGATTCCAAATCACAGCTGTGATTCAAGAATGAAGTGCATCTCTGTGATTCAGTTTCACATGAAAAATGTCCTTCTTTCATGGAGCTAGATCCATTTTTTCCCAGGTTTTTGAGAAATCTGAGAGGTGATTATCCAAGAAGGAACAGGTCAGTGGCCAAATGGCTTCACCTCTCCCTTGAGTTTCAGTTTCCCTATTACTTGTTCACTTCTATTTCCCATATCTTGTCCTAGGCCAGGCTCTGGATGGGTACTCTTTCAACTGAGTCCAGTATTAGGCTCAATTTCCCTGAGTAGAGCTAAAACATGATTTTTGAAAAATAATTTTACTAAGGCATAGGATAAAAAAATTAAATAAAAAAGATAGCATAAAAACAGTCCAACTAATGAAAAACATGTTTGGTTTTATAACCTAGCTATCTTATATTATTCATTAGCTTTGAAACCAAGTACCAAGGCTCTTTCCAAATAACTCAGATTGCCTCTCAAGGTGTGAATCCAATAATAAATTCTTTTGAATATAAGGCATTTATTTTTATATATTATAATCTGATGAAGCCTTAATCATAATGTATATTTTTACAGCTATCTAAAATTTATTTATTTTATCTATAGGGCTGTTATGTGTATAAGCAGAATAGATAGAAGCCTGAGAAGTATTGTTGAGGAATACTGCTAACCAAATATATCTCTATCACTGGCTACAAAAGATAACTAAATTTTCCAAAATTTTTTCACCAGAAAGTATTGAAAACTTTTGATAAAATAAAATACATCATTTGTTTTTGCTCACCGAGCCTTGGTTAAGAATGAACACTAAATATGAGTAGGGGAGATAAATTTGTAAACCATTGGAAAATGCTTTGTTAGATACCAAATAAAAACTGATGTTTAAACTGAAGTTATTTTTTAAGTTATCCCATACACTCAAAACCGAACCCATTTTTTTAAAAATCTAGGAGAATCAGTTAAAACTATTTGGTGGTAGTTTATATTTCCAAACTAATTGTACAGTTTCAGCAAAAATGAGTCATGAATTATTACTGATTAATGACAAGAAGCTCCAAGTTAATTAGAGTTTCAGCACGCGTCAACAATGTGAAGGGAGTCTGAAGAAGGCAATGTGACCTTGGAATGGCTAAACAATGTCATTCTCAATCCAGGCAAGGTAGTAATCACCTTACTAAATTCTACCCTAGACACCACTCACCTAAGTGATTTTGTAAGCCACATAATTAGAAGGGTAGAGCGGTAGATATCACCCAGAACAAAACTAGCAAAAAGTCCAGAAATTCTTCAGTGTTACAGTCTAGATAGAGCTCCAGAAGTGGAGTCAGAAAGATTAGGTTCTAACTGAACCCTTTTTACTTGATGAAAGCTGAGCAGTTTTGGGCTAATCATTTTGTCCTTTTAAGGTCCAGTTTTATCACCCATAAAACTGATATAATAATACCATCCTTTTCCTAACGTTGTTGTATAGGTCAAATGACATGCATTATGTAAGTTGTGACATGCTATGCAAATATTATGTGAAAATAGTTGATCTGGTTCTGAGTATATAATAATAGACTGCATGAGATGGAGAAGTTTGTTACTTATAATTTCATAGGGTTTGGGACAGGAATAGAAGTGAAAACGAAGTAGATTTTGCTTAATGAATAAAAGAACCAAATAATGACCGATAATATATCAATAATATAACTGGTTGCCTCAAAAAAGCAGCTTCCCCTCTTAAGAAGAATTCAGTGAGAAACTAGATAAAAACCTGGAATTGATGGTCGTGGAAGAATTTATTGTATGGTCTGTAAATACCTTTCCTGGTGAAAGAGTTTCCCAATATGATGAGGTTTTGTTAGAATCCTAGTTTGTATTTCCAAATCACTAGGTTAAGGACAATTTTATATTTAATATCAATTATAACAATACCAATTGAAGGCACTAGCACTTATGAGACACCAGTCATATTACAATAAGTCCAGACTATTTGTATGGTCCTTTACAATTTTTAAAGCTATTTATATACATACTTTACCTAGGAAAGAAGGAAAAGAATACACTTAAGCCCATTTCTCCTACCCCCGATATAATATAGCTGATAATAGGACAAGAATTCAAAAGTTTCTTGTCCAAAATGTTGTTCCACATTTCTTGTACACACACACTTTCTAATCTGACCCCCAAGATAATGCTTATAAAAACAAGCTTATGTGGATCATTACTGTAAGAGCAAAGTAAGTCAACATAGGCAACAAGCAGAGTAGGCAGAAAAAAAAAAATTCTACACCACCCAGAAAAGAATTGCCTTGTGAAATTTACAGCTTTACAAATCTTGTGTGGCTCTTTAAACAGAAAAATAGCTCAACTCTTTATCTGACAAACCTATAGGTGATTCTACTTGGAGAAATAAGAGTAATCAAATCTCACGCTTCAGAAATAAGCTCAACACTGTAGAGGTCAGGAAGATATTTTTTCCTTTGTAACCCTGTTCCACTTGACAATTGGCTCAAAGCAAAGAAAGTGGCACTTGGGGCTTCTTTGCTTCCTTTTGATGCATCAGTATCAGTTTGTCTAATAGCCATGAAGGGCAAAGGCCCTTAAGAAAAAGGACAAATGACAGTTTCCTAATCTGAGGGTGTTATGCAAAATGCAGACAGTCTATTCTCCTTGTTGATCAGGGCTCCCATTTGTAGAATGTGTGAGAATAAATAAATACAATCTTTGCATCCTCCAAGTAACAGAGATTATCATTTAGGGCAGAGAAGGTGATTTCTTTATATGCGCGCTCACACGTGCATACACACACACACACACACACACACACACTGCTTGTTTATTTTACTAATACAGTTTTTTTCTTTCTACCAATTCATTTCTAGTTTGGCTAGGATAAAAATGAGAAAAAAATATTATAAAGGGTAAATCTTTCATCATCCCTGGGTCTATTTCGAAGCCAACCTCTAACAGCAGGTTGAAAATTGTTGAGGAGAACACCTGTCCATACCCTCAGTCCGTGATGACATGTAGTGGATGAATGTGCCAAAGGGGAAATCCAT